TTTTCTCCAAACTTGGCAGACATCACTCTAGGCTTAATTCAGTACGTTATACCAAATTTCGTGCAAATCAAAAGATATATAGGAACTTTGGGGCACCATATACATGAAATCGGACGAAACTATATATGGGAGCTATATCTAAATCTGGACCGATTTTCACGAAACTTGGCAGACATCATTCTAGACCTAAATGATTAAGCTGTACCAAATTTCGTGCAAATCGAAAGATATATAGGGGCCGTTTACATTAAATCGGTTAAATATATATATGGGAGCTATATCTAAATCTGAACCGATTTTTCCCAATTTCAATAGGGTTCGTCCTTGGGCCGAATAAGTGACCTATGCCAAATTTCATTCAATTCGGATCATAAATGCGACCTGTACTTTGTTTACAATTTAACATGGACAGACAGACAGACAGACAGACGGACAGACGGACGGACGGACATGCATAAATCGACTTAGAAAGTGATTCTATGCATATTCTCAAAAGGAACCATGTGTCTATCTCGTTTCCTTTTGCCTGTTACAAACATATGCACAAAGACATAATACCCTGTACCACAGTGTGGTGAAGGGTATAACAACATTAGAAAATTTATATAAACTATAAGTTAATTCGACTTCGTACCATGGGACAAATTTATGAAAAACTACTTATAGCAAAATTAAGACACCCTATTCGGTCGCCGCACTGTTAAAATTATAATTTCATTCAGACATCCATTCGACATCCATACATATCTAAGCTATGACAGCATCTACATAAATTTCAACAAAACGCAATAACGTTATTCAAGTCTCAACTTGATACGTTGTGCAAAAAATCGTGTTAATCGGACAAAAATTAGAAGGTTGGTGCACCATTTATGTAAAATCGGACGAATATACATGTATATGTGGGAGCTATATCGAAACCAGAACCGATTTTTCCGACACTTAGCACACATCATTCTAGACTTAATTCAGTACGCTGTGCCAAATTTCATGCAAATCGAAAGGTATATAGGAACTTTGGTGCACCATTTACATAGATTGGGAAAAAAACTATATATGGGAGCTATATCTAAATCTGAACCGATTTTTACGAAACTTTCTGCACATAAAGAGGGACTTTGGTGCCCCATTTACCTTAAATCGGACGAAAATATATATGGGAGCTATATCTAAATATGAACCGATTTTTCCCAATTTCAATAGGGTTTGTCCTTGAGCCAAATAAGTGACTTGTGCCAAATTTCATCCAAATCGGATCACAAATGCGACCTGTACTTTGTTAACAATTTAACATATACAGACGGACGGACGTACGGACATGCATAAATCAAAAGGAACCATGGGTCTATCACGTTTCCTTTTGCCTGTTACAAACATATGCACAAAGACATAATACCACATATACATACATATATGTGGTACATATACCACAGTGTGGTGAAGGGTATAAAAACGTTAAGTTGGGCCGGGCCGAACTTTGGATACCCTCCACAAAAGGTACACTGGCAGTTACTTGAAATTAAAGTTTTTGGGCAAATAATGTTTTTCAAAGATATATTGTAAACTACCGACGACCAAGATCAGTAAATAACTGACAAAAATATTAATAATAAATTTCAAATAAAAGCTGTAATGCAAACGAAATACTTATTTCAGCAATTTTTAATGGGAATTTTTGCTAAAATCTCAAAACCCCAATTAGCGGTCCGATATTGATATTGCAGGGCAAATTTATATGTTGGGGCAATACCTAAGAGTGATCAATATTGATTACATCGTGTAGCAAATGTTCATTATATGAGGGGCTATGCCTAATTGAGGGCCGATATAGCTTAATTTCGAACCTAACATTTCGTTTTTTATCACAATATCTTCATTCAGCCTAAATATTAAATCGGTTGGTATTATTATATAGGGGCTAGGCCTAAAAGACGGCCGATATAGTTCGTTCTCGAACCTATATCTACATCCTCCGAAGGTAGAATGATTACAAAATCGTCTTAAAATTCCATATTTTGTTTTGGGTATATACTGACTATATTGGAATACGACAAATCAATTACTATTTTGGAATACGGCTATATGGAGACAACCCCAAAACGCGGAACAAAGCAATTAACTATTTTAGTATAAAAAGGGGGTTATATAGGAACTACCCCCAAAAGAGAGCGAATATAAATAATTTTTGGCAGGTAGATTTGTTGCCAAATACGACTACAAAATACCAAATTACAGCGAGCTGGGTGGAAAAACGTGATCTGAAAATGAAAATACTGAACATTTGGAGGATACGATATATGGGGGCTACCCAAAAAAATTGGACAAATATTTATAATTTGTAGTGGAGACATTTGGTACCCAATAAGAACCCAATGAACCAAATTTCAGCGAATTCGGTTAAAAACGCTCTCAAAAACCCCAAAAATACCGAAAATTGGAGGTAGCGTTATATAGCCTCTTTATAAGAATAAATAGGACCTATATTTATAATTTTCATTTTGGAGAAAATTGATAAATTGATAAATTTCAGCAAAATTCGGTTGAAAAGCGTGGTCAAGAAAATTGGGGGTACCGTTATATGGGGGCTACCTAAAAAACTATATGTATAACTTTTAGTACCCAATAAGAAAATTGGAGGTAACCATATATGGGGGCTATGCCTAAACGTGATCCGATATATTTCATCTTCGATCTTGACCTGCCTGGAGACAAAATACAACTCTATGCAAAATTTTGGCGATCTATCTTAATCCGTTCATAGGCTAGAGTGATTACAACAGATGGACTGACATGGACATGACAAGGCCGTCATAGATTTTTACTCTGATCAAGAATATAACTACTATATAGGTTCGGAAATTAATATTTCAACGAGTTACAAACGAAATGACAAAGGTTATTACGAGAATATCCGGTTCAAAAATTTAGAGAACTGTTTTTTTTTTTCATCGAAATTTATTTACTTTTTTGACTAAAATTCTCTACCTTAAAATTTCCATGGCAAACCCCGGCAATTATGAAAGTTCTGAACGATTACTGCACCTCATGATGGAGGGAGGGTATAATAAACTTGTCCGGTCGAATTTTTATTATTCATCATCCCAACCAAAAATTATCAATATAGGCCAGAATCGGTATTTTCAACTGGATATTAAGATAATAAAACTGATAATAGTCCCGTTCAATAGGTTTAGCTCGTTAGTTTACTAGCTCTCGCATGATATGCATATAAGTTATTGAAACCGGTTTTTTTATCTGAATATTCTGTTCAAAAATTTAGAAATCCTGTTTTGTTAATCGAATATTTTTGCCCAAATTCCAATTATGAAGGTCCCGAACGATTAATGATGTAGGGAGGGTATAATAAGCTCGTCCGACCGAACTTTTATTATTCATCATTCCTACCACGAATTATCAATATAGGGCAAAGTTTCAAAGTCGAGGAAAAAAGAACCGGTTTTGAAAATTTTAGAACCGGATATTCAGTTAATAAAACCGATAAGTTCGGTTCAATAAATTTAGCACGTCTGTTTACTAGATCTCTAATAATATACATACATAAACCGGTTTTATTATCTGAATATTCGGTTCAAATATTTAGAAAAACAGTTCTTTTTTCCTTGAAATTTTTTTTTTGCTAAAGTTCCTTACCAAGAAATATTCATGTCACAGCTGCCATAGTTTCGGAGTCGAGGAAAAAAGAACCGGTTTTGAAAATTTTAGAACCGGATATTCAGTTAATAAAATCGATAAAAGTCCGCTTCAATAAATGTAACACGTTTGTTTACCAGCTCTCTAATGATATGCTCATAAGGCATTGAAACCGGTTTTATTATCTGAAAAAACCGGTTTATTTGTCATCGATTTTTTTGTCCAAAATTTCTTACCAAAAAATTGTGAAAGCAAAGTTTCGGAGTCGAGGAAAAAAGAACCGGTTTTGAAAATTTTTGAACCGGATATTCAGTTAATAAAATCGATAAAAGTCCGCTTCAATAAATGTAACACGTTTGTTTACCAGCTCTCTAATGATATGCTCATAAGGCATTGAAACCGGTTTTATTATCTGAAAAAACCGGTTCATTTGTCATCGATTGTTTTGTCCAAAATTTCTTACCAAAAAATTGTGAAAGCAAAGTTTCGGAGTCGAGGAAAAAAACTACCGGTTTTGAAAATTTTTGAACCGGATATTCAGATAATAAAACCGATAAGTTCGGTTCAATAAATTTAGCACGTCTGTTTACTAGATCTCTAATAATATACATATAAGTTGTTGAAACCGGTTTTATTATCTGAATATTCGGTTCATATATTTAGAAAAATATATGAGGTTCGTTTTTCCTCGATTTTTTTTTTGCTAAGACTCCCTACCGAAAATTGTTCTTGGCACAGCAGGCAATTATTAAGGTCCCAAACGATTACTGGCACACCTCATAATGGAGGATATAATAAGCTCGTCCGGCCGAACTTTTTTCTTATTATTCAACGTCCCCATCAATTATCAATATTGGCAAACGTTTTACCATCGTTCTGGTATAGCTCCCATATTAGGGCAATGAAGTTGCCCATATATGGAAGCTTTTCAGTATTTGGTGGATTTCAGACATGTTTTCAACCGTCACACATCATTTTCGGTATGTTGAAGGTCCTAACAGGACCTAAGTCTCCGTTGTTTCGTAAGCATTTTCTTCCGGAAACCCAAATAGATTTTGGGTATTTTGAAAATCCACCTGAAGGTGAAGGCATAAAAACTTCACGGTATATTTTTTTCTTTTCTTATAAAAAGCTTAGTTGTTGTAAATAATGCATACACCTCATGTAAATATATCCTGTTATGTAGGTAAATAAATAGGTCAAAAAAGTCATATCTGTCAAAATCTGTAAAAAATGTCTCAAATTAAGTAAATGTTAAAAATAATTGTAATAAATTCATATTTATATATTATAGGTCCATTGTTTGTAAATATCATGTAACAGGGGTTATTGTCAAGGTTAAAACTCACCATTATTCCTGTACTAACGGCAATACCGCGTCCACAGTATGTATTCGGTACAATATCACCAAAACCAACACTTAAAAATGTTATTGCTATCAGCCACATAGCGTTCAGCAGATTTGCATGTTCTTCATCATGAAACCTATACGCGGGCATACACAAACATTTGTATGATGCGATACGATTCAAAAAAAAATTCAGGCAGGGGTCAACAACAAAAATTGGTTTTTGTTTTTTGACAATTTTGAAAGATTGGATTGGTTCGATTATGACCAATGTTGATTAGTTTTTATTTTTTGGATTTAGGGAAATTACATTTTACGATTTTTTTTAGTTTTCGATGATGTGTATTTTTTTCATTTGATGGTGGTAATTTGGTCATCATATTTTTGCAGATTTTATTTTACATTACACACACACAAAATTTGATATATTTTTTTGCATTTTGCAGTTAAGATACAAAACAGAGATACGCACGGTTGGAACCAGGTTTGTTGGTTTTTTGTTTATTTTAAATGTTTTGTTTGGTTTTTTTCGCAGCAAGGTTTTTTTTATTTTTTTGTGAAGACATTTTTTGTTGTTGTTGATTTGTTTTGAAATAAAAGAAAAGAAAGATAAGGAAAAAAATTATAAATTAACTTAGAATATTCATTTAGCTCTAAGAAAAGGGTTTGGTTTTTTTTTCTAAAAATATCTAAACTAATTTATTGGTTACTACAAGGAATATTAATAGGTTGATAGGTAGGTAAGTAGAGAGAAAGAGAGAGTTTGTTTTCATTATCGTGTTTTACAAAAGAGAAGAGAGAAAGTCAAAAATAATAGTTACAAATGAAATACGAATTGTAATAGCAAGAAGTATCCATTTAAATGAAATTGAAAATGCCTTTTAAATGTGGGATATATATTTTGATATAATAATATTATATAAAAATATATTTTTTAATAAATATGTTATTTTATTTTTGTAAAATGAGTACTAAATAATTTTTTTACAACTATAAAACTTCCTGTTTGTTCTTTATAAAACCAGCAAAGACAGTGCCAAAGTAAAAATGTTACTATACCATCGATACCAAGTTATATAAATAAGGTCACCCAGCTGGATAAAGTCAGCTGTTTTTTCTCAAGTCTAATGTCAAAAATTCACAATAATGTATTTTGATAGAAAACTTGAGAGACAGCCGATATCTAGCTGGTCTCCCTTGATTAATACAATGGCACAATAAATAGGTAGCCCATTTAGCGCAGCTGATGTCTTGATTAACTCTTAAAGTGGGTAATTTCTACTAGAATTCGATGTGCAGTGTTGCCAACCATTTGAAATATTATATGGAAAGATTTGACAGATAATCGAGACTAAAACAAATGTTTTTGTTTTGATACATCACCTTATTATTGCATCATGATTGATACCAAGGTAGATATACAAGGTAGCCGCATCGGCGAATTTCTACAACAAACATCGGTTGTTGTATTTTGATATGTCAAAAATATTTTGCAAAAACAAACAGATTGACAAGATTTTTTTACACAAATTCTTGTAGAAAATGTTAATAAAAGTAGTGCCAAAAAGGCTCTTCGAAATTCGGAGATTTTCATTTATAATTTTGTTTTTTAATTTTTTGGTTCAACATTACAACAACATTTTTGACATTTATTTGTCCAACAGCTGGGCCGATGCGGCTACCTTATTAAATATACCTTGATTGATACGCTGGAAATCATCTATTGTGAATTCATAATTATTAGACTTGTTATTGTGATTGGTAGTGCCAGTTTCCAACTAAAGGCTCGTTTAGACTACACCTTTTAAGGTAATTAAGTGTATTATCTCGATTTAATTGCTATATCGAGCTGAGTGTACCTAGATTTACCGCACAAAATTAAATATAGTTATTTGCCCATGTGACATGTTCCGAGAGTTTTTGAATTCCCATACTTTTTTAAATTCCCATGTTTTGCAAAATGGTGTGCACAATTTCAAGCGAAAGTGCGGCTCGAAAGAATAGCTGTGTTCAATATGTTACGAAATGTGTTCAATAAAAGAAACATATGTTTCATTGGAATTTGCAAATTGTTAACCAACAAAATTAAGAAAAAAATATGCCTGCTGGCTTATTAATTGCCCTGGTTTCTACCAGAAAAAGTCTAATGATACTGGAACGTGTTAAAATAAGCATTTATGGATATTTTGTGAGAAGTGGGTCCTTTCATACACAGGGTGCCATTCCCGAAAGCCTCCAGTTACCAGGTACCTTAAGATTTCTGGCTGTTGGTGGGTTTCAGAGGATAGTGACAAATGATTTAAATATAAGTGTTGATCGCACAACAATGTGTAAAATATTGTGGAGAGTAATGAAAGTCCTGGAAGACAACGTGTGTGCAAGCTGTGGACAGCTGCAGACCAGGATCCAGCCATGATGCTTTTATTTGGCATATGAGTGCAGCTACGCCCTATAAACAAGTGGAGCATGGATCTTGTCAACATCGATATAATAAAGTGCACACATCTGCAAGAAACATTATTAAAAGGACTATTGGAAATCTTAAAAGTAGATTTTTTATAGATTCTATTTTTTTATCATATGGTGCTTGAGTTGCCAGATTGATCTCAAATATGTTACGCGCTGTTTTTGATAAAAAGAGCCCTTTTTTATTTTCTTTAATTTTACTATAAAAACTAATGTAAATTCTGTATTTTTTAAATAAATATTGTAAAAACACGTTAAATATTACTTCAGCGTTCTTTTTCAACTTGTACGTGCTCAGAAAAACACGTACGATCTCATTTCGTTTTCAATCCACAAGGCTATATGTGTTCGAATTATATTCCCAATATATATATTCAATGAAGCATATCAAATTTGGGAAAATGTTTCACATTCGAGCAAACTCGAAATGCAGCACATGGGCGATTAACTCGATTTTATTCAAAATCTTCTTATCTCGATCGTGATGAAGTACATTATCTCTATTTAATTGGTAAATAGAGCTGAATTTATCTCGATTTACCATACACATTTAAATACACTCAATTTTTCGATTTACTATAAATCCTATGCTAAACCGAGATAATTTCAAATATAACCCTGCTTTTGTCCCCAAAAATAATCGTTTTTCCTTAAAGTATGCTTTAAAATTAGTTAATATTCAAAATAATTGCCTAACAAAATTATGTCAGCTGTTGAAAATTTATTATACCCTACACAACTATGTTGTCAGAGTATTATTGCTTTGTGCAGCCCCAAGAGTTTGTAACGCCGCGAAATATTGGTCCTAGACCACCCTTTAAGTATACCGATCGTCATATCTGAACTAGCTGAGTCGATCTAGACATGTGTGTCTGTCCGTCTGTCCATTATAATTTGTATACTCGATACAGGCCACAGGTATGGACCAATCTTCACGAAATTTTGCATAAAGAATGGGTTCTGGAAGGCCAATGAAGGAGAGGATGAAATGGACCAAATACTTAATTTTTGTCGGTTTTCTGGTCGCTCCAGAGGCCGCAATTATGGCCCAAACATATCGAATTTTTACATGGAGAAGGAGATGAGGCCAAAGAATAAGCATGCCTGTTCTTATAAATATCGATCAATATTTAGCGGGTCAAATGGACCCTGACTTTTGTGTGAAAAATTACAAAATGTGTATTCTATTGTGTATATATTTACTGCTAAAGGACATAGACCCGAGAAGTTGATAGTATATCCAAGAGGAGTGGTTGGCCTTTAAATTGGTACTAATTATGTTGTCCTATGTACTCGGTTGTGGGAGTTACGCGAAAATATTTACAAGTACTTACGTATTCAGATATTTAATAAACCATTACCACACTAGAGGGCGGAAATATAGCGCTGATCGCTTTGAAAAGTTCCATGAGGTTCAGTTATGGTCAAGGACAACGCCTATTGATGATCAGATAATAATTTTGGGATGAAGTGGACAGAAAACTTATTTTGTTGTGTTTTTTTTCGAACATCACAACACAACCCACGGTGAAGGGAGTATGGACAAGTAATTAGACGGGATGTACTGAATATCGGTAATATTCGGAAAATATTTCAGTGTAAGGAGGAGGTCTTGCTGACCTCTAATCGGGCAAGACGGTGCAACTACCACGAAATATTACCCAGGATCGGCATAAAAATCCGTAGTTGTGTAGGGTATCGTATGGTCGGCCTCGTCCGACTATACTGCTCCGCTCACTGGTTTATATGATCAAAGACGGGATATTTTACTTATATTATCGTATTTTGGAGATATGTAGTACCAAAAGATGCGAGTATTTTTGAAGAGTCAAAATTGAAATATTAGTCGGGATATTTTATACGATTATACGATCGTATGTCAACAATCATTAACTGACTGGACTGCACATCATTTTAAGTTAAGCCTAAATTTAATTCAAGTAAATTCCAACTCATTTATGTCAGTTTTCATGTGGAATAATTTGCTCTCTTAATTTGATTTTGGGAAGAAATCCTATCGTCTTATTAATTTTTCATATAAATACAACAATATACCTCTGCATACAGGGTTGTTTTTGTTGTTGTTCACCTCAATAGAGCTCACCTTGTTTTAATGTAATCGAGTTGTTCAGGCATTTTTTAATTAAACAATTCTCTAATGGAAGGAACGGAAAATGATTTTTTCTAGTTTATTGTTTTATTTTCTTTCTATTCTTTAGGGAACGAAAATAAAATATAATTACGATGTAGAGCAAGGGAATGAGGGAAATTCACAACGAACAGTTTTGATTAATATAGAGTGAACTACTCTCATATTGTGAACAATTATTCTATAGATTTGACTAATTTTGCTACCATTCACTTAGTTCCAAATTTTCTTTTAGTTCAATCGTTCATTGGTACACGGCAGTTAATTCCATCAAAGAATGGAATGATCTAGATAAAGAATTGAATCCAAAGAAACTGTGTGAAACCTATTAACTAGATGAACGAAGTAATTCCATAGATCGCTGTAAGTAAGTTTTATGGCAACATTTTGGTAGTTTTTCCCCTTGTGAAATAAATTCACAATAATGGTGTTTGACAACAAAAATGACTATCAGCTGATTTTCTCGAGTGACTTTATTAATAGGTTTTGAACATACACAACTCTAGTTCATAGAATGAACCG